GACTGGACCTCAACCTCATTATTACTGTATCAAAAAATGATGTTCCTAAATATTCTTATCAAATTATCAGGTATTATTAACTCATAAAAAAAAGGGGAAAATATATCATATCACAATAATAAAAAATTATATTTTTATATCATAAAACAAATTGAAATCCAGGCCATAAAGTATAAATTCTTACCGTTCTTATTCGGGTTGCATGTCCCTTGGTACTTGACAATGTGACGCGTCAACTCCGATTTTGAAGGGAACTCCATTGCACATGATTCACATTTGTTAGACCTTTCTGTTGATAACCTGAAACAAAATAAAATCTAATTATTTCAAAAACTGTTAATACTTGACAGTTTAATTATCATTATTGCAGTCACATATATTTTCCCCCAGTACATAATTAATGCAACTAAAATGTGACCTAAAAGAAATGGTAAATTTCTCAGAACAACTGAGAACCTATTCTGATCATCACCCAATGGTGACAAGGCATGATTCACTTATGATATAATATTACACAACCATCTAAACTTTGTGGCTAGGCCTAAGCTGTGTACAGCCAGCCCAGCCACTGTGAGTCATGACGCATTTACACATTATAAGCTGTTTCGTCATGACGAATGTAGCTGGCACTGTCAAAAAAGGGGTTAACAAAGCTAGCGACGTCCTTATGCCTCCTACACCACCTGAGCAATTCCTAAAGAATCACAAAAATATTCATCAATTGCCACACCAACCCATGAGAAAGTGTGTGCGTCTTGAGGGACGGCCGATCGGGGAAGCCCTGGCCACACATGTTGCAGGTGTATCCGAGTGCACCAGAGTGGGTCATCATGTGCCGTTTAAGTTCCTGCAAGACCTCGAACTCCATACTTGGCACTGGAACGGGATGTTGACGCTGTTGTGAGCCTGGGAGAGGGAGAGCAATTTGCAATTAGCAAGATTTCTCAAGTGAGGTGATTTTAAATATATAATTCTTTACTTAAATCCTTGGTAAACTGAAGCTCCATTGTTTATAGCATTGTCATGGTATTTATAGCATTGTGATGCTTTCCAATACCCATTATACTACCATTCTATTGTTAGTATGAGTACTGCATTCTCTTCTCTTTCATATTAGAAAATCATATAGTTTGTGGTACAACATTTAGTGCTACTGTTGTGGCAATACAAGACCACTAGAGAGACACACACACAAAAAAGGCATTAAAAAGCTATAACATTTGATAACACATTTAGAACCATTTCAAAGTCTAATTTCCTCACTCACTCAAGCTTTTATACAAATACATAATCAAAGAAATGAGGCCTATCAATTGATGTTTAGTTCAGTTGATGTTTGCTTTTTCCAATCATTATTCCATATAGGCCTAGTAAAAAAAGAGCATACCAATTCAATTTAAAGACCTGGGTGCGCGCCCACACAAACACACACACACACTATATGAAAATAACAGAATTATGAAATTTGGTTCATTTGGTGATTCATTTCTATAAATCTTTCACCATGACATCAAAGTACTTACCATATTATTTTCAGAACTCAGTTCACTTATCAAAATATATCTTTATTCGGATATCAGTAACCAAATGATCAAAATGACTTTCAAGATCAGAAATTTTGAAGTAATGTGAACACTGATACTGCTTTTGGAATTTACATTCACTTATAAATGTTAACAAAATATATATATGTTATGTAAATATAAACCAAAAACTAAATGCAATTTTATGTTATCATAATGGCTACTTTTTCAATAAAACTTTTTTTCCCCTTTATCCTTCTTTTCTCCCCCCTCCCAGCTAATAGACCTATTCTAAAGATGACAACAATGGCATATCTGATGACTGCGATAATGATTGTATCAACGACGATAATGATCTTATTACAGCTGATAATACAGCTGATGAATAACATGGTCTACATCATTAAATGAAAGGCACAATTGTGATGATAACACTAAATTGCAAATCACTACAGTATGAGTGTCTGGTTGAGGCTATATAATATCACAATAGTAGTGATAATATTGATAATTCTAATGACAACAAAATAATATAAATAACAGTATCAATGACAATGCAAATAACAAACATTTTATCGTGAATGATATCACAATCAATATTCACGATAACAATATCTATGTTGCGTAACAATAATAACATTAACAGCATCAATGTTACTAATATTAATATCCAATGACATGTAGTCTATCATAGGAATAGTACCATTGTGAAATAACATTCATACTTAATATCAACTAGTTTGTATTCGTCCTTACTTTTCTATATAGATTCTCTCATGTAATTAACAGTTTTATTTGTTTATAATAACTCTTTTGAATTTGGGATGCATGTTTTTCAACCTACTCATCTATAATGGCATGAAGTACTTTTTAAAGTATGAATAATTATATTTCATTACAGTATTTTCTTCACTTTTTTCAAACATTACACTAGTTTTACTGATGCTTTTTTTTTTTTTTTTTTTTTAGATAATTCCTTCTAATTTATGCTCAATAGGCTACATCAATGTGCTTCTCAATAAATTCTTAAATGAAAACTTCTTTCTGCATAGGGTCTAGAACTCAGCCATCCAGAATACCAATGGGAAAAACACACTAAAAATAATACATTGAAAATTGTGCTCTACAAGGCACTATGCAGCAGTTGCCAACTAAAATCCTATTCCTTTTAATGAGGAGTTGAGAAGTTGAGGGTGATGGGGAAGGGGAGAGAAGGGTAGGGGGGGGGAGCCAATCACAATACAACAGTGTGTTACAAAAAGGGAGCTTTCAAATCAAGCTATATATAAATTCATGAAAATAAATTTCTGGCTTTCCTATCCTTCTGGAATCTTATTTTAGTTTAAGAAATGAACTAGACTTCATGATACCACTGTAAGAGCCCCGTGAACTAAGGCTAGCTTTATAGACTACAGATAATAATAACAGTATTTATGATAGACTATGATAATAGAAATATATGACAACATCATGATAAGAGAAACGAGCAGCAATAACTTCATTAACAATAATAAATGATTAAAAAAGATAATACTAACTATTAGTGGTTGTACAAATTTGTTAATTACATTAGTCTATATATGATAAATGAAGATAATAAAGGGGCAGAATATACAAAAACAATAAAACAAAGACACAGAAAAAAAAAAAAAAAAAAAAAAGAAAAAAAAAAAAAAAAAAAGATCAGAATGGTCTCAACCCTTACCTGGCGTTTGTGAGAAGTAAGCAGGTACTGGTACTTGAAGGCCTCACCGCACTTGTCGCAGGGGTAGACTCCGGGGTGGTCAAGTAGGATATCGCTAGGGATGTCATTCATGCCATCATTGCTGTTCTCATCGTCATTATCATTGCAGTCCTGGAAGCCATCAGCAGAGTCATCCTGACCACCGCCAGTGCTCCCACTGCCACCCTCGCTGTCCAGGAAGTGCGTTGGAGTTGGAAGACTGAGCAGGAAGTGTTCTGCAGGGAAGATGGGGTTCTCGCTCTTCTGATCCTCCTCGATCACAGTTGTCAGGATCCAGTGGGTTGATTTCCACTGGCTCCATGGGGGGCTCTTCACAGTCCATCCTATCTCCAGCTCTCTCACTATCGGGGCTGTCCCCTTCGAGGTTCCCATTCTGGATTACCATCCCTTGTTCTACATTGTTCAACATTGGAATCACATGATTTTCAAACCTATGACTAGTAGAAGCAGCTATAAATTGCACATTTCTTATATCAGTCATGGCGGGGCTCAACCCGTTTGGACAAGAGTTTTCCTCTACACTGTGCTTTTCCTCTGCCGTCCCGTTTTGGAGACCGCACTCCGGAATCAGCAGGCTTGGGTGCACTCTGTCCGCCATGTAGCTATCACTTTTGCTATCACCATTTACCACTACCTGTTCACTGTCTTTGCACTCACTACCATTCACAAGAGACTTGTACTTCACTACAGAGGCTTTCTGCGTGTCACTGTCATGCGCTAAAAGATGCTGGACGATGGACACAGTTCCTTGGATTTTTTTACCACATTCCCCACAAGAATAAACCTGCCAATGAAACAAAGACATGTCATTAAAGTTTCAGTCTACAAAAATGCAAGACTTTTTGGCGTAACTATTTCAAAACAAAATTACACACGTTCACAAAAGTAACAAATTGAAAGTAAATGCTTGTTATGATTGCTATTCATCACTTTACCAAAGCAAATTGCTTCTGTTTACAAACATACAAAAGCTTCAAGGAGAGAAACTGAAGGATTTTATCTCTATTTCTTTATCAAAATTATCAATCTAGATAAATAACAACAAAGCCCCCATTATACAAGAGGCCATACTGAGTGAAACTATCAGACATTTGAAAAAAACTGAATATACTTCAGTGTCATTTTAGGGTTATCTGACACGGAAGGAAGATTGGAGGAGGAATAATAGGAAGGTAGAAAACAGATGATCACAAGAAGGAGCAATGGGAGGGTAAAGAAGAAGGGGTAAATAAAGATGGAGAGGATGACAAGGAAAAGAAGGAATAAGAATATACATAAGAATAAGAATAATATGACAAAGAAGAATAAGAAGATGAGAAATGAGAGGAGGAGGATGAATATTAGTTACAAAAGAGTCAAAGGAATTGAGATGGAAGAGGATGTGGAAGAGAGACAGTCGCTGGCACTAGACAAAGAATTAAGAGAAATAAACTAGGCACTTGTCCTACATTAATGAATTATAATTGTTACAGGCAAGAATTTGATTTAATGAGTTTTATACTGTGTCAATATGTATTTCATAAGTGAAAAATACAAACGATGACCGAAAACAGAAAAAAAACGTAAACCATTATCACTAATTTTTGTAAAACTATCCTTTCATTCTTTACTATAAACACCATGAATTCAAACCTTCGTGCGCTGGACATCATCTCCTCGCAGGACCAAGCTGACCTCCCTATAAAATGCGAGATGGCGCTTCTCCATGTGCAAAGGAAGATCCATTATCTGTG